GAATACATGGAAAGAAGGTCAAAACTAGCAAGCCAGAGCTCAGCAAAGCCACTGTTAACAGTTTGGTCCATTTTCTTCCCATCTTGCCCTTCCCCTGGTGATTTCAGTCAGGTAGGACCTGACAAAGGTGGCTTGCTCTTTCTTTCATTTATTTAATTTTTTCTGGCAGACCCCACCTTTCACAACATGTCACAGCAGGGACAGGGAAGGGAAGAGATGTGGCCCAGCTCTCTCCTCTGACATTAACATCAAACCACATTGCCCTAAGTTCCCTTCTCCGTTGAAGCTCCTAAGTTGTGCCACTCTTGGAAAGCAGCTTGAAGCAGCCTCAGTTCTCACCCTTTAGTGAGTAGTTGCGAAGGCCTCTATGCACTTTAGTCATTGCCCTCCCCATAGCATGCATCTGCAATTGGGCCTGGAGACGCACATAAAAACACTTGCATGCAACTTTCTGGACTTCCCGGCCTGCTAAACAAATGTGCCGGGGCATCTACCTGAGACTCCTCTTGGCCTCCAGCCCCCACGTTGCACCCTAAGCTGTGGTGCCCCCCCCCCCCCAAGACCAGGAGTGGAACCTCCAGGTGCTGCAGAGGACCCATGGAGTTAGAAATAGAAACAGAAGAAATGGTAAGAACTAAAGTGACCTGGGAGAAACGCTCAGTCCAGAGAAGGAAAGGGCGGATCGAGAGGAAGGTAGAATAACGCAAATCTGACCTTTTAAAGCCTTGGTTAAGGATCAGTCCCAAGCAGGAAACCAAGAGAGAGCCTGGGCTTCCTCCAGTGTTTCTCCTCTTACACCCTGGCCTTTTGCTCAGATGAAGCCAGAGCTCTGCCTTGTCGTTTGGGGCTGACTCACTTACATTAGAGCCTGAGAGGGTGTAGCATGCCCAATGCCCATTTATAACATGGCATCCATTAGAAAGATGCAACCTGCTTCCAGACTGCCAGCCCAGAAAGTTCAGGAACACAATCTACCAGTGAGTGAGAGACTGCAGGCAGTGTGTTAAGGATTATCCTGGCATTGTAACAATCCACGGGTGAGTGAGAGGCTGCAAGCAGTATCTTAAGGGTTATCCCAACATTGTTTCTGTGCCCAAAGGAATTGACATATGTACCCAAGGGCTTATTTCCTGAAATATGCAGACATCACTGGGTGATTCTGCCTCGGCATCTGACCAGAAAAAAGAGTGACCGAGTGGTTAATTTGCTATTTGGAGGCCTTGTAAAAACAAAGAAACTAGATGATTCTGGCCAGAACAGTTTGTATGATATGCCGTGTGGACCAGAGTCATTTGTATGACAGTCCTTAGCTGAATGATAGGCACAGATTCACTCTCCACACACTCAGCAGGGGTGGATTGCTCAGTGGGGTTCAAGGTGTCTTTGAGGGTGTGTCCTAAATTGTCAACAGCTTCCACATGGTGTCTGTGTCCTTAGCTTTTGGCATGAGGCAATCAGATGAGGTCATCTATCTGAGTCCATTTCCTGATAACTGATCATTTTGTGACACAGAACAAATTCTATTCTGAGAGAGCTTTCAAGCCTAAATGCTGCCCGCCTGGTCTGGGGCCTGTCCCCTCCCTCCCCGCCCACTCGCCCCAGAAACATCTCTTTTCATGGTGGAAAATTACACATTCACAAACTGTGTCTCTTTCCTCACACCAAGCATATTCCCACACAGCGACTGATTCTGGATGATCTCATGGGTGAATCATGCCATTATCCTACTGTTTGGAAGAGCTGCCTTCAGACAAAGATTTTGGTGTGAGCTGCACTAAGACCCCTCCATTGTCTGCCAGTTGCCCTTCTGGGGATGACTTCCCCATGAGTGCCCAGTCTGAGGGGCCAAGACTTCTCAGCTAAAAGCTGCCTTTGATTTTACTTTTTTTTTTTTTTTTTTTTTCCTGTCAGCTGTGGCCTTGTTCATTGACTTTGAACTATGACTCCGCCTCCATGCAAACAAGTGAAACTGATCCAAGATGTCCACTGCACTTGAAGGAGCAATGTTAGCTCTGGAACTGTAACAAATACTGGAGATAATGAACTTATGAAAAGAAAAATGTTATTTTGGTTTATGATTTTAGAAGTCTCGGTCTGGGGTTGGGGGATAGTCCGTGCCAGCGTGAGGCCCCGAACTCACTCTCTACACCCTCATGAAAGCCAGGAGTAGCAATGCACATTTGAAACCCTGTTGCTGGAGAGCAGAGGCCAGTGCGTTCCTAGGCCTCTGTAGCCAGGGAGGCCCTGTCTCAAAAGTCAAGGTGTGTCACTCCTGAGGGACAACACACGAAGTTGTCCTGTGGTTTCCACATGTGTGCACACACACTCCCACACAGACATGCTCAGTCCACGTTTCACTCACTATAGGTGGGGAGTGAGTCAGGGATTTCATGGCTGGGCTGCCAAAAGTGCAGGGGGCCTCAATGTCCCCTTCTAGAACCCACCTCCTGACCTGAGGCCTCCCATTGGGCCCTCCTAGGGACTGCACCAGGTGAGCAGCAAGCCTTTAGCACATGACCCTTGGGGAACATTCTAGATACAAATTACAGCGGACCACACATGGGGCTTCTTAGCAGCATACTTATGTCTGCTGTCCCGTGGCATATGAGCTCTTAATTAAGACTCATTCACACGCGCTATTTCCTTCCTAATCCAGCTTTCAGAGCTCTGCTTTTTCGAAGTCTCTGTTCTTTTTGAAGGGTCTAGAAGTCCTGTTAATATTTAATTAGCTCTTAAATTATTTACTCATCCAAGTGTTTGAGCCATTGTTGGCCTTTAAAGAGAAAGTTCCTGGGTGGTGTCCCCAGCTGGTCCCTCAAGTCTGAGTTTAAGGCTCCATTAGAGATGTCACCATGGGGAGAGGTCAGGACAGGCCCGTCTTAGGGACAGAAAGCTTTGGAAAGTGCCTAATTGGATCACACGTGTTTTTTTTTCCCCATCTACTTCCCAAGTGTAAGTATTCAACTGTATATTTTTTTAAAAGTATTATTATGCATGGGGGTGTGTGCAGATGCAGGGGTGCACATACGTGGAGGTCAGAGTTCACCTTTGTGGAAGTGATCCTCTCCTACCTTCCCACAAGTCCTGAGGATTGCACTTAGCTGCTTTGCAGTGTGACCACCTTTGCCCACTGGCTCACAATTATACATTTTTTTAGATTGGTTCATTGATTTTGCCTCCAAGGGAAGGGACCCTGAACTTCCTGACTAATGGGGAATCCTGATGTTCTACTAAGATCAATTCTGCACATTAATGGTAGTCAGCCAAGTCTTTCACAAAAGATAGAGCCGGGAATTGGCCATGCAGTGGTTAACGGGGTAGGGGGTGGGTAATCTTTGAGAATGAGATAATTTAGATTGACACTTGGCTTTGATCAGATGATTCAGCAGTGGTGAAATATGATGTGTTTGCATTGTGCTGTAGCAGCTGAGGCTAACCTGGGTTCCAGGGGCTTTCCTGATGTGGACTCATGGGAGGAGGATTGTGGCACACAGCTGTGAAGGATGCATAGCCCCAGTGAACCAACCTGCTTTTCATAAGCACAGAGCTGTGGCTTGACTGTCTCCTACTTAATCCCCTCTCAGCCTGCCTCAGCCTGCCCCCGCAGCCCCCTCTCTAGCCCTGCTCACTCCCCACTCCATCCCCCACTCCCCACCCCCACTGACTGGTTCCACGGCTGGTCTTTGTCCTGCATTTGCAAACTGTTCAAGCTTGCATAGCCTGGGAACTGAGCTGAGTTGGGGAGCCAGTCTAAGCTGGGGTGACAAGGAATTAGAATATGAAGTTGCCCATGGCTCTGACCAGTGCTTTTCGGCTTTTGTGGGAATAAATACGGTGTTCTATCCCCCAGAGTCAGCACAGCAGCTTTGAAAACACACACATAATCCTGGATACCATAATCCTCAAGGAGGATGGTCTCTCCATCAGAAGACATTATAGAAGTACTTACATACATATGACAGTAGTTCCCTTGCCTAGAACTTGTTTTGTTTGTTTTGTTTGAGACAGGGTTTCTCTGTTTAACAGCTCTGGCTGTCCTGGAACTAGCTCTATAGACCAGGCTGGCCTCAAATTCACAAAGATCTGTCTGCCTTTGCCTCCTAAGTGCTAGAATTAAAGGTGTGCACCCTACCCCTGGCTGCCTAGAATATTCTTGAAGTCCTCATTTGGATGACTTGTACCTCCTTGTTGCAGTTTTGAATATTGTTATGCTATGCGCCTAAACATGGGAGTCAAAGCTTGATGTTGGGAATTACATACATGGGGATGGTCTTGGAGAAGTACTGATTTATGATGTTCTGGGGAGAGGGAGGGAAGCAGGGAGGGAGGAAGAGAACACTCAGAGTGTGTCAGACAAGCTGGAAGGCAGCACCTAAGCATGGTTGGTCCTGGTCGCCTTATTCTGTCCTGTACTATACAGGATGCCTGGACGTGGGAGACAGACTGTAGAAGGTGGTCAGAATGGCTCTAGGTGAGTGGAGGGCCTCATCGTTTGACACAGTGAATAACACTATAGATGTAGTCACAGTGGACCTATCTTAGTGAATGCAGAATCACTCCCCACAACCTTGGTGACCTTGACAGGACTCAATTCCCCCCCTCCCCCGCTGTAAAATGGGTTAATGGTAATATCTTAGCCAACATGTGATGGTGAGAGGCTTTAGAAATTGTGCCATGCTACTGGAAGGGTTGCTATTATTACTGGGGTTATTCTTTGATGAGAGGACACACTGTCAGGGTGGTTGGCCTAACTACACCCCTCCTCCCCCCCCCCATCTGAAAACACAGAGGCTGTGCTGAAGCTGTTGGTAAACACCGGCTTCCTCCTCACGTGCTCTGCTCATGTGGGTCTCACCTCCATGAAACTGACAGAAGGGGGTGGCTCCCCGAGCACCCCTGGCATGACCGCCCCGCTGCACTGGGTCATTTCATCGGTGTGACAGTAAGTGTCGTTCTTTGGCAAACACACAAAGCATTTCCTCTCGGCTTGTCCTTTCTAGGGACCTGAAACTGGATGGAGGGAAGCAGTCAGCAGGGGCTGTGAGCCTGAAGGAGATCATTGGCCTTGACGGTGTGGAGCTGGGTGCTGACGGGAAGGTAAGGTTTCAGTGACTGCAATTTTGCAGGTGGCAGGTGGCGCAAGGCCCAGGATACAGAGGCGGAGAGTTCACTTGCAAGGTCAGGGCAGGTTCCAGGGCGATACACCATCTCACGCCAATTCTGCCAGTATGCAGGCAGAAGGCATCCAGTCAGTAACTCGGCAGGAGGTCCCATGGTATGTGCATTTCTCTGCTAACACTGTTTACAGCTGATTGTGCAATACTCGCATAGTTATGAACATGTACCCACATTCCAGGGTGATGTGATAGTTTGTGTATCTATGAAGTGGAGGTGTCAGAGCAATATTCCAGCCACTGGTAAAGTTCTGGCTTCTCAACCCAGCACAGTGGCCACTAAATCGTGGTCGGTTTAGTGTCCAACTATACAGACGCACTCCACAATACAATGAGCTGTTAAGGTGAAGTCCAAGGAGCAAAATTTGAAATGTGCCGACCCCTGTTACTGGCTATAGGCAGCCTCCATACAGCCTCCAAAATAACCTGTGCCCCAGTGGGGAAGCTCCCAAACAGTGTGCCTATAGGTGAGCCGTCCTCATCCTCAGAACATCTGTCACCCTGTGTCCAAGTCCTAGGAATGAGGTGGGTTGTGGCAGAGTGCAGGTCATGCTCAGCACCTTTGGGGAAGCATGAGAGGATCCAGCAGCCTTATCAGAATCTCCCGAGGCCTGCTGTCTTCCTGAATTCCTCTCCTGGATTATAAGACAGAGTGCATGTATCTGTGGGTGCCACAACCTTCCAGCACATTCTGAGACAGTGCCTTGTTGTCTGACACATAGACATTTTGGCTACCTACTAGGAATACACTAGATGGGATCAGTTAAACTGTACTAAGCTCTAAGCTTGGGGTCTGTTAAGGTGGGGGTTGGGTATGAAAGTGGCACAAATTTGGCAAAAATGAATACCAAACAAGACGCATTTTCCTACCTTTGTTCCTTCCTTCCTTCCTTTCTTCCTTTTTTTGTTTGATTTTTGAGACATGGTCTCTTTGCATAGACCAGGTTGCTTTGAACTCCAAGATCTGTCTGCCTTTGTTTCAAGAGTGCCGGCGTTAAAGATAAGCCCACCAGGCTAGGATACAGGTTGCATTTTTTCAAATCCCATTAGATTCCAGAAATGGATGTTTTTTAAAAAAGCAAACCCGATCTTAGAGTAGCAACAGAGCTTGGCCAGAAGACAAGCCTGGCCTCTGGGCTTAATCACTGCTCTATGATTGTTCTCCCCTTTTAGACAGTGTCCTATACCCAGTTTCTACTACCCACAAATGCCTTCGGAACCCGGAGAAGTACCATAGACTCCACCTCCTCCTTCTCCCAGTTCCGGAACCTGAGCCACCGCAGCCTCTCCATGGGCCGTGCCAGCAGCACCCAGGGGAGCCTTGATGCAGGTAACTTTGGCTCAGAGGGTGGCTCGTGGTAGGATGTGCCTCCGTTTACAGTGCAAATGGGATCTCCGTTTGGTAGAGGACAGGGTCCACCAGTGAGGTGAGGGGCAGCCGTGAGGTGTGATCTCAGGTCCCACAGGCTCATAGGCATACCACAGAAGACCTTGCTCGGTTACCAGCACCCAGGGCCTACCTGTGTTGGCAAAACCAAAGCTGCTGCTCTCTCCCAGCTTCTTGGTCCTTATTCATCTGTATTCTATTGCTGCATTCTGCCTTCTGCATCTCCCCCATATAACTGGGTCCTGAACTGTAGGATTGGGTGAGCATTTCCTTTGCAATGCTCAGGAGTTGGGTTGACTTTTAAAGGATGAGCTACATACGCTATGTTTGCCCACATATAGGTACAAGGATAAAAAGTCTTACAGAGAAATTCCAGGTGAGGGGCCTAGGGAATGACTGGCAAAGCGCTTTCCACAAAAACATGAGGGCCTGAGTTCAGATCCCTGGCACCCACGTAAAAGGCCAGGCATACATGTGTGTGATGCTAGTCCTAAGGGTACAGACAAGCAGACCCTTGAGTTTTGCTGGCCACTAGTCTGGCAGTATTGGTGAACTGCAGGTTCCATGAAAGACCCAGTCACAAAAGATGGCAGAAAAGTGATTGAGGAGACATCTTACATCTTACATCAACCTCTGGTCTACACACACACACACACACACACACACACACACACACACACACGCCTGCACACAACACACACACGCATGCACGCACGCACGCACACAACACACACACACACACACACATGCGCACGCACGCGCACACACACACGCCTGCACACAAACTTGCAGACTCATATATGTACACTTAACCACACACACACACATAAAATTCCAAGTGAAGGTGAAGTTCCCTAGGTCAGCCTGCCCCTACCCTAATGCCCCCATCACCTGCAAACATCATTTGTATCTGTGTCTGCCAGTGGCTACCACAGTTGGGACATAATTCATACACAGCAGCCTATCTGGAAGCATTTACCATTTACCCAGGTCATGCCCTGAGTTTAGTAATTCTCTCTGCCAGCTTAGAGAACAAGCTGGTCTAGGGCCTTGTTCTGTGACCTACAAGGTCACATGCTATGTCAAGTTTTGTGTTCTTCTGGGTCAAGGAAATGAGCACACAAACAAACAAACAAAAAACAGAATGGTAAGAATTGGACAATCTTTCTGTAGGTGTGTGTTCATACCTCATTGCCAAGCAGAGGCTGGCGACCCCAAAGCCATTGAGGCTTTATGAGACGGTGACCCTGAAGCCACCTGGTCTTTAGTAACTGTCCCTAACATCTTTCCAGAAGCCTCTGCCTCAGGGAGTCCAGGGCCTTAATCGCCATTTTGCTTGTGCTCCTCAGGAAGTGACCTGGGAGACTTTATGGACTATGACCCAAATCTCCTGGATGACCCCCAGTGGCCTTGTGGCAAGCACAAGCGAGTCCTGACTTTCCCTTCATACATGGTAAGTGGTCTCCGATGACTGGCTGGTAGATTCCTTAGTGCCCACAGCATCCTGAAACGGCCTTGGATGGCTTGCTGGACTTTGCGTCTTTATTGAGTTCGTGTAGGGTTCTGGTTAGCTGGCCTGGGAATGCTGCCTACAGAGAAGTTGAGAAGGCTGGGCCCAGCTTAGAGACCTTCACTTGTGAGAGGGGCATGCCAGAGTATACACACCCAGACTCCACCCGGGAAGGCCTGACCTTCCAGGGGAGCTTCAAGTTCAGGCTTGTTTGGATCTCCTCAGCAATTGTAAGTCTCCACGTGCACTCTGAGCCACGGACAAGCAGGTCATGGCGCTACAAGGGAGCACTTCTCTTGCTGTGTGTATTTTGTGACTTCCGGTCTCCCCTTGTGTAACTGGGTTACACTTTCTGGCTGATGCCTTACCCCGCCATGCTGGGCTCCTGGTTCTGCAGACACTTCTTTATTTATTTAGTAGAGCTGTCCTCGTTGCTGAGGAGCAGGAAAAAGCCTACTATGTAGAGAAATGGACTGACCAGGCCTGTCATATACTTATCAGCAGAGGGAACTCTACCCGGATGCCCTGCCTCTCTGTGCCTCCTACATCCCATGGGGCAGCAGGGCAGACAGCCATGGCGGGGCTCTGGCCCAGCCCTTCCTGCTGCCACTTCTGCTGGCTCGTGGGAACAGGCCCTAGGGACCACTCGGCCTCTGGATCCTGCTGCCTCAGCTTCATCTTCTCAGGCCTGGCTCACCCATCTCAGTGGAGAACCCACGCTTGAGACCTTGGTGTTTGGTGGGGATGCGCCATGGAATTTCAGGCTCCATTACAGCCATCCTAAGTGTGTAGTCTCATGAACTCTGTCACAGTCGTTTGATCTCAATATAGATCTAGTCTGTTTTTCTAATTCCTCATCTTCACTAAGGCCACCCACCGCTGTTCTGACTTCCAGACCTGTATTAAGTTCTTCACCTGCCCTGAAAAGTCTGTGTAAATGCAATTGTGGGCAATATACTTTTTTTTTTTTTTTTTTTTTTTTTTGGCCCATCTTTCACACAACTTGGTGTTAATGCGATTCACACGCAGAGTTGTACTTAACTGCTGAGCAGTGTTGAGTGAACACAGTTTATCTATCCTCTTGTTGATGACGGCTTGGCTGTCTCTGGTGTAAGGCTACCCTGAAAACTACTGCCATCAGTATTCCTGTACACAGCTTTTTGTGTTTTCCTTTTTTTCTTGCCCGCGGGCGGGCATCTAGGCTGTAGTTGGATATGTGTTTTCTCCGCTGCTGTTCTAGTGATATACGGAAGAACCACTCACCACGGCCCGTTGGAGGGTTCCACAGGTGAAGTCCCTCACTTCCAGCATGGAGGATGTGACACTCACGTGGCTTTGCTCTCTTGTTACATTTGTCTTCTTAATTGTTGGCCCATCAGGGCTGCTCACTCTCACACTTAGCCATCATGAAAAGCCAGAAGCTAGATGTTGAACTTGAAGCCTCTGGGGGCAGATATAAAGACCATGGTGTCTGCACCTGTGGTGCAGCCTGCGAACTTCTAGAAGACGACCACAGAAAGCATGTCACAGACGGAGACCACAAGCCGTGAACACACGTCAAGCTGCCTGGCTACATGCAGGTTCTTGCAGGGCATTAACTGATGTGTGGGAGGCTCCTGCCAGACCATGCCTCTTGTACCTGCCCTGACTGGGGTATAATTAAGTTTCACGAGAGAGTGGTTTTGGGTTTGTTTTTTTTTTTTTTTTTTTAATCATTACAACCTGGCAGCTTTTATGGGTAGTGTTTTTCATTGTTACCTGTTTTTCCTTCCTTTTATGGGTGTGGAAAACAATGAAGAGAATAAGAGAATGAGCTGTAGTAAGGTCAACAAATTAACCCTCAATGAATCCATGGATCGCCTTTTTTCTCACATGGCTTTGACATAAGAAAACTGAGATCTCTTGATGACGTCTATAGATATCCACATCTCTACAGAACACCCATTGGACGGGTCTCTGATAATATTCCTCTTATTCCATTTACCTAACAGCAGAACCCAAGTCTTTTGGCACACCCTCACAGCATCCCTGCGTTGCCCTTAAGCTAAAGAAACATACCTTAGGATTCAGTGTTCCAGGACACTAGGGAATGCTAGGCAGGGACAAAGAGAGGACTCAGGAGAAAGGTGCATTCGGCTTGCCTGCTTTATGGCTGGACTCTGCCCCCCATCTCCACAGATAGAATTTTTATTGTTGTTGCTTGTTTTCATTAAGAATTATACTAGTGGCTTAGGTGCTCACCTACTGCAGATTATCCGAGATGTGAAGCATCTGCTATCATCAAATGTCTTGACAGTGAGTGTGTGGTGAGGCGTGGTGACCCCTCAGTGCAACCCACCCAATGTGTCAATGAGAGCCACACACTCCTTCCTTCATGGCTCCGGTGTTTGGAATCCAAGGGGTAGAAACAGCACCATAGGCAGCTCAGGTTGCTTAGCCACCAGCCCATCCCCATGCTTTCCTTATCATTGACGGTTGTCCTGAGAAAGTGGATTAAGTGCACGGGACATCTGAAACGCACATCTGGTCAGATGAATGTAGTCCCCGGCTCCCCTGCCTAATTACCTGAACAAGTAGAACATCTGTTTTCTGCTGCCCTGGTGAACCGAGACTGCCCACGACTCTCGGACAAGTGCTGTCGAAGCAGAACTGGGCACTGACGTTTGCAGGGCCGGAAGGGGCTGCCCAGATCACTGCCTGGAACTACCTCCTTCTTAAGGTATGGCGGGGAAACTGTTCCCACCAGGATAGAGGTGAATTCTGGCCCCAAGAGACAGTAGCGGAGAGGGCAGGCAGCATGCGTGCCCCCGTTCAGAGCTGCGTGTGTGGTGCTGAGACTCTGAGTCCTAGAGGAAGGAGGCCAGAGCTCCACCAGACCCTCAAGTGGGACCAGACCTGTTAGCTCTAAAACCCTACTATTCATCCTGCAGCATCATTATTGAGGCATGTGGCTCCCTTCTGTCTGCCATGCACTCCAAGGGGGCCTTCTCTTTGAAGCGTTACAGCTGGTTCTGTGAGCTGGGGTAGAGACCAAGTTCACCTCCTTGAATGTATGTCCCTCTTTCATGAGCTAAGGTGGAGTGATTATGAAAAGCAGTGTACCCCGGCGTCGGTGTACCCCCTCCCCCGTGTTGGAGCACCTCAGTGTCTACAACAGATGGAGCAGATACTTCTACCTAAATAACTAAATTGTAGGCTTTCCGTCGTTTTCAGGGCCATGTCTCTGTCTCTTTCCCTCCCCGCTCCCTGCCTCTGGTGAGGGAGGGCAGCCATGGCCGGGCGCCTTTGTGAATCACTTCATGGCTCTAGAAGTTGCTGTCTTTGGGGTGGGGTTCCTCCCTAAGTTGACGCTCTTCTTTTCCTTCACACAGCTGAGTGCACACCACTGCCTGCAACCAGGAAGTTGTAAACAGGTGCATCCAGGGACCTCACTTTGGGTACTTGATCAGAAATGCAAGTGCTGAGGGCCAGAGCTGCCCATCTGTTCCGAAGCATGGCCCTGCTGTCAGTCACAGCTGCAGGCCAAGAGGAGCCTTTCGTTGGGCCAGGCCTGTGGCCTGGAATTAGGTGATGATGCTGCGCTGAGCTTCCAGGCCAGGGAGGAGCTACACCCCATTTAATTAGCACTTTGATTCATAGTAACACGGCTGGCCAAATCCAGCATTGTGTTTATAACTGCTGTGTTAGACTGGTAGGTAGGTAAGCTTCAGGCATCGGCTTTGTGTTTAATTTATCCTCCCCCAAGCCAGCAAGGGTGGCTACCAGGGGCTAGGGACCCTGTGCCTGCTGCTGAGTTCCCAGTACTGCCTCTGGCTGCCTGTCAACCAGTGCAAGAATAGTGGTCTCTTGGGTACCTAAGAGGGCCAGCCCCTAAGGGTCATTATACAGCTCCCTCAAGAGAGGATATCCGGTTGCCAGAGCTCGCCGTACTCTGTTCTTCACAGGGACCCATAGCTCAGAAGACAGTGACAACTTCATCCCTCTGACCCCTGCTGGGGCAGAGGGTGGCCCTTCTTCATCCTACAAGGTTTCGAGTCAGACTGCCATACTGGGGCTGCCCACTCAGCCTGATTAGCCCCAGGCAGGTGAGTGAGCAGCCCTCTAGATCCTGTGGCCATTAGGACAAGGCAGGTATCTGGTAGAGATGCCAGAGGAAGAATCTGAAGCCTAAGTACTTCAGCAGTGTGCTCCAGGCTACCCGGATGCTGTGTGGCAGGGCTGGGTGTAAAAACTCAGCCTGAAGAAATGACAGGGCCAGAGTCTGTTCAGGCTGCATAGGACTATATCCCGCTAAGAGATGCTGCCAGGGCTATATCCCGCTAAGAGATGCTGCCAGGGCTATATCCCGCTAAGAGATGCTGCCAGGGCTATATCCCGCTAAGAGATGCTGCCAGGGCTATATCCCGCTAAGAGATGCTGCCAGGGCTATATCCCGCTAAGAGATGCTGCAACAGGCTCTCTTCAGATGTAAAGGAGGCAAAGTGAGGTGAGCAGAGAGTTATGTGGAGCCCTGATCTGACATGATTGCATCCATACAAAGGAACAGAAAATAGAGCGGGCATTGTAGTGGCGCATCCATCAGTCCTGGGGGTCAGAAGCATGGGAGGGGCAAGGAAGATTCTGGGGACAGAAGTAACGAAGCGGTGTGTTCCATGAACACAGCCTATCAACCTGCCCAGATTGTACGCTTCCACCTAGGTCTCTAGGGCAGCCTGCAGTTGTCAGAGCTAAGAGCTTGTTACAGCAGGCCAGGAAACCAAAGTGGCCACTTCCTGTTCTCAGCCAGACTCGCAGAGCGCAGCTTACCACCATCTTTTTCCCATTGTGTCACAGAGGCATTTTACTGCCCCCTCACCTGAAAACAGATTGAGGCAGACAGGCGAGAATGACTGTTACTAGGCACTGGCCTCAGTGGCATGGGTATCACAAGCCTACAGTTGTCC